CGGTACCAGGAGTCGTGCTCAGAAGGAGGTGAACTACATTCTGACCTGGGCTGAGAGATATGCTCCACGTTTGTCAGTAGTGTTCATTTCAGCTGTAGAAAATTGACAGGATTATCTCTGTCGCCAGCAGTTGATTCCAGGGGAATGGGCTTTGCATTCCAATGTTTTCAAAGAAATCTGTCAGGGATGGGGTTGCCCACACGCCCTAGTGATTCCTTGGAACCAGTTTTCACTGATTTATGTCTTTCCTCTGATCCAACTGCTGCCGCTTCTCTTACTCAAGATTCGGGAGGATTCTATTCCAGACATGGCAGTGAAGATGGCAGTGGACGGGCCATGGTCCCTGCCGTGTCGGCCAGACCTGTTGTCTCCAGGTATATTGCACCCAGCTTTACGGTCAAATTTGACAACTTGAAACTCAGATCTTGAAGGATGGGGGTCGGATCCTGTCATCCCCATTTTGGGTGCTAGAAAGGTAGTTTCTAGGAATGTTTTTATTACAGAACCTGGAAGGCTTACACTTCCTGGTGTGAGGTTCACAAATGGCACCCAAGAAAGTATGTGATTGGTAGGATTCCGTTGTTTCTTCAAGCAGGGTTTCAGAAGAATTCGGCTGTTGGTACCATTAGGAGCCAGGTTCAGCATTATCTATTTTTTTTTCCAGCGGCCCATTGCATCTCACTCTTTGGTTCACACGTTTTTACAGGGAGTAATGCGTATTGCGCCTCCTTTCAGGTTTGGTCATCCGCCATCAGGCGTCAGTGGCTCAGGTTTGCAAGGCTGCTACATGGTCTTCAATTCGCACATTCACAAGTTTCTACCAAGTGGATGTCAGAGCTGCAGAGGATTCTGCCTTTGGCCGCAGTGTTTTGCAGGTTGCTGAGTAGGTCCTGAGGTATTATTGACGGTGGCTATCATGGTGTCACCTTCCCCTCAAATTTATTATTGCTTTGGGACATCCCCCATAGTCATGAATAGCCTGCTCTGTGTCCCGTGATGTACAATAAAGAAAACTGGATTTTTTTTCCTACATACCTGTAAAATCCATATCTTGGAGTACGTCACGGGACAAAGAGGTCTCGCCCCTCTTTCTGGGATTTCATTGCTTGCTACAAAAACTGAAGTACTTCCTGTGTAGGAGGGGTTATATAGGGGAGGACCTCCTCTCTGATTAGTTCACCTATAGCTGGCCTATGACCCACATAGTCATGAATTGCCTGCTCTGTGTCCCGTGATATACTTCAAGAAATGGATTTTACAGGTAAGTATGTAGAAATAATCCAGCTTTTACTAGAGGGTTATTGTTTCCTCATAATGTTGGAGCTCTTGAGCATTTCTTCCTCTCAGTTTGGATACTCAGGCTTTAATCTTTAGGTTTTACAACCAGGCATCTTCTTCAGTTGCCTTTTCTTTTATCTTCTGGGTTTTCTGTACCTCAGTGTACATAATCCCAGATTATGTACACCCTCAAATGTTGGTTTTGCTATGTTTACTGGAGTCTTATTTTAGGTATAATCCCCCATTTTTCAGTGGAGTCTATTACCTATAGGATAATTGCATTTGTGGTGTTGATATCGCCTCATGCCCATCTTTAATGAGGGACTTCTTTACCTACAAAGTCGAGAAACATGAGTTCTTTCTGTTTGTTCTCCATCCTAGTGGTCACTTTCCTCATGGCTTCCCCATTGAGGAAAGCCTTTTTTTTGTTTTTCTTTTTGATACTTTGGATAAAGTAGGGACGGATTAAAACCCTTCAAATTACACACATTTAGTGGATTAAAGTTAATGGAACCTCTTCAAACAACAAAGTTGCATGTAACAAATTTTTGCAAATGATATATTTTGGTAACATCCTGAAAAATTATTATTTTTGGTATGGTTTCCAGAATTGAATTGCCTACTTAGTCCTTAATTCAATTCTTAATCAAATCTAGTGCATTTCTGTTTTTTTGTTTTCCAATAGTAGCACCAACCTGTGTCAAAAGTAACCAAAAAACAGTACCTTTTGTATTTTCAGAGTCTTAGATACTGTGAACCTAAATGAAGAACCTTTATCTACAGTGGATTTGACTTCAGATAATATATTAAGTAAGTATTTGTAGAATAGAGATAAGTGGACATTTGAAAATTAAAAGAGAAGTTTGGGATTTTATAAAACTTTTACTTATCTAGCTAGATGTAGCATTGATCTGATGCTGCATCTGTCCCCCGCTGGCTCTAAGGCTGAGAACTGAGTGATCAGACACCATAAAAAACTTCAAAAGGGCCACCATTTTAATCTGATTCTATAGAAAAGAATATGGATGGAAATGGAGATTTTTTTTTAATGCTTTTCTTTTTTCACTTCATCACAGCTTTCCATTTCAGACTAATATAATATGGGTAGACATTTTGCAATATTGTCTAGTGTTGTGTGTTACAAACAATGCTTCTAAGCCTTTCTGTTATTCACAAATATTACCATCAAAAGGATAGGGTCATCTGGATTTATAGAAGGGCTACACTGTTTGTAATACACAACACTAGTTAATATGATTCCTTTTATCTAACAGCAGCTATAGAGTGGAAGATTCATCAGGTATTGGATTGGGAAAATAATTTATGTTATAGAAACAAGCGAAGAGGAGGAAGCACATAATCATTTAGCAATGCTATAAGGCAAAGTGTGATAAAATGAACAGCTATTTCAATTTTCTCGATTTTTATAACTAGATCTTTTTGAATTTGTTATAAATATAACATGGGACTTTAGTTACTGCCCATACGCCTAAAGCATATGCCCGCATAAATATGTTGATGGGAGTGCACTGGTAAGATTATGTAACAGAAAACCAGAACCGTGTCCGTAAATGTTTTCTATAGTATCTAATGTTCTCTTTTAGTTTTAAGGTTTTCTGTAAACGGTTTTATATAAATTAACATTGGTCATAATTTCAATGTTCCTTTGGCCAATACAGCATAGTTTCAAATTACTATTGTGATAGATTTTGCACACTTGAATTATGAATAGTTATAAATGCTCAGCCAATCCCGTGTACCTGCCGATCATTAGGACTGGTTATGTCCTGCCTCCAGTCTACTTTTCATACAGGTGTACAGCTGCACACTTATGTAAACCTGGTGTTTCAGTGAACTTTATTGTATATCAGTGGAAATGGACACTATAGCAACTCCCTTGCTCTGATACTTTTCACTCTGCCCAGGGCTTGTGAGTTGCAAAACAGGGTGATGTAGCCTGCACTTCTCAGAATCCGGAACTGAGTTAATTTTAACTTTTTTATTTTTTGTAAAATGTTTTTTTGTAGCTAATTTTGTTTGGGCAGTGATTGGGGGGGGGTGGCAGAAAAGTGAAGTTTTTCTTTTTCATGGAATGTTCCCTTTAAAGTGTGACAGAGGACAAGATGTCAATAATCTGTGCAATGTTCAATTTCATTTTTCTTTTTGAAAAGGAAGCAGTCTTAGACCTGGCACGCATTGTATAAAATGTGATAGATCTTGTAATCAGTGGGAAGATCTGCATGTTTCTGGTCTGCTTTAAACCCAAAAGCAAACATTTATTATATTGAAGCTTACCAATTCTTAGATGTGGTGACTGCATTCCTTTTCTTTTTTTTTAGGCCTTCCTTTTATTTTTACCTTGTGACCTGCCAGCAAGCCTGTTGTTTTTCAATAGAACATGATCTCTTGCTGCAACTGCTTGCGCAATTGTAGTGTAAGCTGGAGTTTGGTTTCAATTTGTTGGTGTGTCTAAATCTTCTAGTGCATCTAACACTCCTTTCCACCCCCCACCCAGTCTGACAATGCTGCTGTCCAAAGGTGCCCCTGTGCTCCTCTATCCAGAGTGAGGGTACTCTAATACAGGAGGTGTGTTATTGACCAGGTGAAAACAGAGGACGAAAACATGTAAAAAAGAAAACTAATCCCCCTTATACACTATCATTTTTTTTATTTTTGTTCAGCCCAGTGAACAAAAATTGATCGCTGTCAGCTCTCCCCACTGTGATATTGTGTTTTGACAAAGGGACTACAATCATCATCCCCCCCCCCCCCCCCGAATGCTGATCTGCAGACCTTTTTCAGTCATGCCCCTTTGACTGAAGCCTCACCCCAGCTGCCGTACACCCCCTCTTCCCCCGGACGCCGATCTGCAGACTTTTTTCGGTCATGCCCCTTTGACTGAAGCCTCACCCCAGCTGCCGTACACCCCCTCTTCCCCCGGACGCCGATCTGCAGACTTTTTTCGGTCATGCCCCTTTGACTGAAGCCTCACCCCAGCTGCCGTACACCCCCCCCTTCCCCCGGAAGCTGATCAGCAGACCTTTTTCGGTCATGCCCCTTTGACTGAAGCCTCACCCCAGCTGCCGTACACCCCCTCTTCCCCCGGACGCCGATCTGCAGACTTTTTTCGGTCATGCCCCTTTGACTGAAGCCTCACCCCAGCTGCCGTACAGCCCCCCCTTCCCCCGGAAGCTGATCAGCAGACCTTTTTCGGTCATGCCCCTCTGACAGAAGCCCGATCCCGGCTGCTGTACACACGGGCTGAATGTTGGCCGGTTTCTGTTGAACCAATACACCCTGATATTTTGCCAGTCTGTACAGGCCATAATGCAGCCATCACATCTAATGATTGGTAAGCTGCAATATGTTAAATTTTTTGGTTTTTAGGTTTAAAGAGAACCGCTTTAAAAAAAAAAAAAAAAGAACTGAATTGCAGTAATCATTTCCTCAAACAAGTATATCCCAGCTTCATTGTTTTTTAACTGCAAAAATAAATAGGTTCTTTTCACTACATGTAATACATGTAAATCTGCTATATCTCAGATTAATTTTTTCTGAAACATTTACATGTTTTACCACCTGTATATATTTTTTTATCTTTGAGTGTATGCATTGTTGTGCTGTGTTCACAATTGGATTCAGAACTGCGGAAGATACAGTTATACATTATGTTAAGATATTTTCTTTTTTTTTTTTCTTTTATCTTGTATACAGGCCAGAAGTCGCCACCCTTTGATGCTCTGGAGGGAAGCCAGCAGCTTTCTGTGACAGGTATAAAACCATTAATGGATTTGAAGATCACAGTGAGAAAAGCCTACAACACAGCAGGTTGTGTAGTTATCTGAAATGAGCTGTTCAAAGCTCTCTTGTGGTAAAGCTTATATAAAAGTAGATTTCAGATTAAGCAAAGTAATAAAATGAACTAGAAAAAAAATAAAGAAGATTTGTCATAGATATATTTTAAATTGAGTAAGTGATACCATAGAAATTTTTGCTGGCTGGTAGCTAAAAAGAGTGGGAAATTTGAGTGAAGAGTGAAAAAGTTTTTTACTTTTGACTGCTGCTGATTGCTGGTGCTTGTAGTTGTTTTATTTTCTTCTTTGGGTCTTGCTAAAAGCTTTTACTTTTTTAAATCACTTTTTCTGTCACTTTTTAAATAGCATTTTTTTTTTCTTCCTTTCCTTGTCTTCCTTCAGTCTGCTAATTAAGGGGAGGGGTTAATTGGTCACAGGTGATACAGGTCCTATATAACTTGCTGTAGAGCTCACTCTGAGCTTGCTCATTTTTGAGCTTGCCTGTATTTTGCTTGCTGGACTTTTGACTAAGTGGACATTTGATAAGTGGAGTTAAAAAACTGGAGTGGAAAATAGGAGATTATAACAGGAGTCTACTAACCTGTAATGCAGGCCATAAACGGGTCGTTTATCTGCTGAATTTTTGTCCACACGAAAACCGGCCAATATTCACGCCATTAGTGGGGCAATGCTGTTGGCCGTTTTTCGTGGATCTTCTTGTTTTATTTTTAGCAGTCATGCTGAAAAATCCATGAAAAACGGCCGTTTTTCGTAGACATTGGTGGCAGCATCGGCAACGACCGATTTTTCGTTTATTGGCCGACAATTCGGCAGATAAACGGCCCGTCTATGGCCAGCCTAAGTGACAACTGATATTTCCTGTTAATATTGTAAATGGGATAATGTGTGCTGGCAGGGTGAAAGGTTTTGTGCAGTTCAGTGTGCCACATGTATGCAGCAATGAAGCAACAGCTCCAGTATGGATACCGCAGTGAAAGATGTGAGCGGGTTGTCCTTCTGGAAACTCGCGTTAGAAATCTGGAGGATCTGGAGGAGCAAGTAGCAACACTGGGCAGAACCGACAACCTTGAAAGGGGTCTTCTGTTCTCTGAGCAGGTAGCTAATGGGATTGATGTGGAGGGCGGAGGGGCTAATCAGGATTATCAAGTAGGAAGATGGGCTACTGTAATGAGGGAGTGGTAGGGGCTTACAGAAAAGGAAGGCCGGTCCTGGGTTTGTGCACCCAAACAGATTTGCCAAGTTGGATGAAGATGTGGGGGTGGCAAGCTCAGGGGTGGCAGCCCTGGATGTCACTGCTATCCCTAACAGCCGAGAGGGCAGACCATCTGGGAGGGGTGGTGAGGGTAATGCAGGAAGACCTAGACAGCTGGTGGTAGTAGGGGATTCTATAATCAGAATGACTTTTAGAATAATTTGTCGCCAGGATCGCCTCAACCAAATGGATTGTTGTCTACTTGGACCGGGTTGATAAATTACTGGGTGGGGCTGGGCATGACCCAGCTGTCTTGGTCCATGTTGGAACCAATGACATAATACATGGAAGGTGGAGGCTCTTTAAGAATCAATTTAAAGAACTAGGCTGCAAGTTGAAGGGAAGGACCTCTATGGTGATATTTTCTGAAATATTACCAGTGCCATGCGCAACATAGGAAAGATAGGGGAGATTAGAGAACTCAACGCATGGATGAAGACCTGGTATAAGAGGGAAGGATTTGGGTTTCTAGAGCACTGGGCTGACTTTTCATTGGGGTGGAACCTGTATGCATCATACATACTAGGGAGGGGAACTGGGGAAATCAATGTTGGAGAATGTTCTGGTTGATCACAAGCTTAATAATGGCATGCAATGCCAAGCTGTGGTTTCTAAAGCGAGCAAAATCCTCTCTTGTATTAAAAGAGGTATAGACTCCAGAGAGAGAGATCATTTTACCCCTGTACAAATCATTAGTAACACCTCATCTGGATTATGCAGTTCAGTTTTGGGAACCAATACACAAAAAGAACATTGGGTAACTGGAGAAAGTACAGAGAAGAGCAACCAAACTGATAAGAGGCATGGAGGAGCTCAGTTATGAGGAAAGATTAGAGGAACTGAATTTATTCTCTCTTGAGAAGAGGAGATTAAGGGGGGATATATTCAACATATGTAAATACATCAGTGGTTCATATAGTGAACTCGGTGTAGAGCTATTCACCCTGAGGTCATCACAGAGGACAAGGGGGCACTCTTTACATCTGGAGGAAAAGAAATGTAATCACCAAACACGAAAAGTTTTCTTCACAGTGAGATCTGTGAAAATGTGAAATAGACTCCCTCAAGAGTTGGTTCTGGTCAGCTCAGTGGATTGCTTTAAAAAAAGGCCTGGATTATTTCTTGGATACACAGAATATAACTGGATACTAACATTTATAGGTAAAGTTGATCCAGGGAATATCCAATTGCCTCTCGGGGGATCAAGAAGGATTTTTTTTTCCCTGCAGGAGCAAATTGGATCATGCTTTGCTGGGTTTTTTTACCTTCCTCTGGGTCAACTGTGGGTATAGAACTTTTTTTTTTTTTTTTTTTAGTGGTTGAACTGGATGGACTTTTGTCTTTTTCAACCAAACTAACTATGTAACTATGTAAATAGATGTATCCATTGTTTTATTTCAGTTTTATGGTAATTTATTTAGAAAGGCTCAAGCAGCCTGCCCGCTTTGTTACCGAAACGTTACAGGTTCAAATGTAATGCAATCGATTTACGCAGCGTTTACATACGTAGTACATTCACATCGGTCCCTGTCCTCAAGGAGCCTACTGTCTAAGGTCCCTAATTACCAAATAACTTAACAGCATGTCTTTGTAGTGTGGGAGGAACCTAGAGGAAATTCATGCAGGCCCAGGAAGAACATGCAAACTCTGTGCTGGTAGTACTGTGAATGGGATTCCATCAGATGACCCTAGTGCTGTTAGGTGGAAGTGCTAACCTCTTAGCCGCTGTGCTGCCCTTGTCTTCATTAAGTTTTGTTCCTTGGAGCAAAGCCTTCCCCACATTACACGGCCCTTTCAACAAATGTGCCTCATTGGTGAGTAGGGTCACTGCTTAGTGCAATGACAAGTGGGAGGGACTCGTCACCAGGGTCCACAGGGTGAAGCCAGAAGTTGTGTGGTGCCTTGTTTTAGGCAGGGCATTATTTTTTAAAAGTTTAATATGCCTAACATACACAGCCTAAATGCAATGTGCAATTGTGCAAGAAGGGAAAAGGAAGGCCTTAGTAGTGGCTTTTATATTTTTACATTAACAGGTTTTCTGTACACATCACCAGTGAGTTGGCAGTAATCTGGTCACATTAAACTAATGGGAAATTGAGTTGCTATTGCTTATCTCTGTTTATGTGATTCTGTTTATGCTTAACAATTTGAGTCCTGAGTGGTTTTAACATGGCACAGGGACAGCGGATAGTCATTGCAGTGGTGTTTTTTAAGATGGCGCCCTGGACCATGCAGGCTGGAATTGTCTTCTGCCAGTGACAGCTGACATCCAGCACTAAGCCAATGAGCTGCAACAATCAGCTTCCGGACGTCTGATCACACTACGTTGTGTTCCCTTAGGAACTGTTGTAGCTAATCATTGTCAAAAGCTTTTGCATTGTGTTTACAGTGAAGTGACATCATGACACTTCCTCTTCATACAGAGCTGAAGCAGCCCATACGTGTGCCTCTGTACAGAAACAGATAATTCTTAGTGTGATATTTTGCTGTTTGGTTGCACCCAGCAGTAGATCACTATTAGAAATCATCTGTTGCTGCACAGATGCTGCATGGGGGTGTCTAGATCAGGTCTCCACTGACCAGATATGCCAGATTTACACCACAAAAAAATGTATGTGTAATATATATATATATATATATATATATATATATATATATATATACACACACACAGTTGCATTCAAAATAATAGCAGTGTGTTGAAAAAAGTGAATAAAGCTTAACATCCTTCTAATAACATTTATTTCCATACACACAAATGCATTGGGAACACTACACATTCTATTCCAAATCAAAACATGAAGAAGAATATATCAAATTTGTGTTGTTCCTCTAAAAAGAATTGAAGAAAAGTGAATATTAGACTGTTCAAAAAAATAGCAGTGTTTTTATTCTTCTTTACAAACTCAAACATTCATTATATAAACGGAAAAATGTTTGAAGATTTTGTTTTCCTTTGAATCAATTAATATGTAGTTGTATAAGCACTGTTTCTGAGAACTGCTGTACATCTGTGTTGCATGGAGTCAACTAACTTTTGGCACCTGTGAACAGGTATTCCAGCCCAGAATGATTGGACTACATTCCACAGTTCTTCTCTATTTCTTGGTTTTGCCTCAGAAACTGCATTTTTGATGTCACCCCACATGTTTTCTATTGGATTAAGATCCAGGGATTGGGCTGGCCACTCCATAACGTCAATCTTGTTGGTCTGGAACCAAGATGTTGTACGTTTACTGGTGTGTTTGGGGTCGTTGTCTTGTTGGAACACCCATTTCAAGGGCATTTCCTCTTCAGCATAAGGCAGCATGACCTCTTCAAGTATTCTGATGTATTCAAACTGATCCATGATCCCTGGTATGCGATAAATAGGCCCAACACTGTAGTATGAGAAACATCCCCATATCATGATGCTTGCGCAACCATGCTCCACTGTCTTCACAGTGTACTGTGGCTTGAATTCAGTGTTTGGGGGTTGTCTGTTAAACTGTCTCCGGCCACTAGACCCAAAAAGAACAATCTTACTTTCCTCAGTCCACAAAATGTTGCGCCATTTCTCTTTAGGCCAGTCAATGTGCTTTTTGGCAAATTGTAACCTCTTCAACACGTCTTTTTTTTCAACAGTGGGACTTTGCGGGGGCTTCTTGCAGATAGCTTGGCTTCACATAGGCGTCTTCTAATTGTAACAGTACTCACAGGTAACTTTAGACCTTCTTTGATCTTCCTGGAGCTGATTGTTGGCTGAGTCCTTGCCATTTTGCTATTCTTCTATCCATTCGAATGGTAGTTTTTCGCTTTCTTATTTCAGATTTTGGTTGCCATTTTAAAGCATTTGCGATCATTTTAGCTGAGCAGCCTATCATTTTCTGCACTTCTTTATATGTTTTCCCCTCTCCAATCAACTTTTTAATCAAGGTACGCTGTTCTTCTGAACAATGTCTGAAACGACCCATTTTCCTCAGAATTTGAGAGCGAAATGCACTGTAACCAGCATGTACAACATTTGCTGCCTTCCTTCCTTAAATAAGGGCAATAATTGCCACCTGTTTTTCAAAGAATGAATGACCTCACTAATAGAACTCCACACTACTATTATTTTGAACATGCCCCTTTCAATTAGTGATTCAATTACACAGAATCAGCAGCATGCATGTCATGACTGTTGGGTCTGTTGGATTTCTATTACTCTACTACACCTGCTAGTAAATTATTTGCCATGTAGAAATATCATTTTTGCCAAAAACAGTGATTGATCAGGTTAGTGATGTCTGACTGCTATTATTTTGCACACAACTGTATATGTATATATATATATATATATATATATATATATATATATATATATATGTATATATTACACTCATACATATCCCTTCACAGATTAAGTATGACTTACCAATGAAGTTGCGTGATGTGATTGACGTTTGTGTTTACTTTGTCAAATAGTTGCATAAGTAAATGCCAGTCAGGATTTTTAAGCGATAAGAACCCTGTTAAAAATAAATTATCATGCTAACTTGTGTTCTTGCCAAACCTGGTTTGATCCTATCTGAATGTTTTGCTAACAGTTTTGCAACTGTTTTTTTTTTCCTGTAGCATCACAAGGGGAATAAAGCTGTCATGAAGTAAAATGTAAACCATCACTTTGAGATTTATCATTTGTTATAGTTCATTAAAATGTTAACTTATGTGATCTCCTTAAAGAGAAGCGTAGGAATGCAAAATAAATCATATTTGCCTAGATGGCTGTAACATTGATCCCAGCTGCAGCTGTCCCCTGCTGGCTCTACCCCGCTGAGCAACCAAACACCTCAATTCTCCTCTCCACGCTGAGCAGAGAGCAGTGACTGTCAGTCACCAGCTTTCTGCTTTGCTCCTCCAGTGCTCACTGGAGTGCCAGGCTGTGGAGGGAGTGGGAGCAGCTGGCTCAGGCTCTCAGTAGCTCACTGAGAGGCTGAGCTAGCTTGCCTGTTCAGGGATCTGGGTGGATCCCGGCCTGATCTTTCCGGAGCCTGGACCAGCTGAGTGATGTCAGCCTACAGTGGGCTTTAGTCTGCTGATGGCTGAAAACTGGTCACAGGAGTGCAGAGCAAACTGCACTCCTGTGATCTATTGGAGACGTATATCCAAAATAACTTTGGCTATACTTCTCCTCCTTTATGTTCTTTTGACGGTTTTATTTTTGGGATTACATATCAGGAGCTGCAGTGACTATGTCAAATTTGCTTTCACCTGGGGCTCAAGGGTGTTATAGGGAAAAAGTCCTAGAGGCTCAAGTGGTTAAAGACAAGGGTTGGCTTATTTTTGCTGCAAGGAAAAGTGTTTTTTTTTTTTTTTTCTGGCCACTGGGATTCATTGAGTGCTAGTATGTGACTACAGAATTTCAACACAATTGAGTCTTTTTTTTTTTTTCCTTGACTCTGACTTATGTCATCACAGGACACATCTGATATTGTATTTTTGCAGTACATCCAACTCATCAGGAATGGCTTACAACGCCTCTCAGCACGGTTGTTAAAACGAAACCTCCTCAGAAATATCGTGTCAGAGTGAGACTGAGAAGTTTTCAACCTCAGCACCTCTATCAGTCTGTTAAGCTTCATTGCACTAAATGCAGTTCATTGTAAGTATATTTCATACATTCTGACCTACATACAAAATATCTTCAAAGATTGGGATGCAAATGTAAGAGGTATTACCTCTTTGAAACAAATCATAAATAAATCTATTCACTCTATAATTTTGTATCCATGGTGATTCACTCTGTCTATTTCTTTTTGTGTGAATGTTTTAAGGTTTTGCTGCTTGGCAGCTTTTTTTTTTTTTTTTAACAAAAAATGAATTTTTATGTATCTACATCATTGCATCATATGCATTATGAACAAAGGCTTTCCGTTGCTACTGAAAGCAAGAGTAACAAAGTAAACCTTATAGCTACAAGTATATGAATAAATGATTTTGACATTAGCCTATGAAAATAAATGTGGTAATGATAGCAAAATAGCTTCACAATTTCCTGTGAAGAAATCCGGTTTGTTCCTCTATTGCCAGATAGAAAAAACTGATCGCTTTAGTTTGAATACATATACATATACAAGTAGTGTGGAGAGTGAGTGTGAAGATTCTTCAGTTGTCTAGTTCGTAGTTCCGAAATGTCATTAAACTGTCATTATAATAACCCCTCTTTGAAAATAAAGATAACCAAATTGGGAAGAAATCAAATTACCACCATATATAAAAGTAACAAAACATTTATTATGGCAATGCAAACATCAACATAGATCTGAAATCACATTGATCCTGCATGGCTGGCATATACTGTACATATACTGTATATATAGTAGACTTGGGTCCAATGGAACCTGCTCGCTTGTATGTCCACCTCACAGTTCTTTTCAAAAAGGAAGGCAAAGTTTATAACATCATTTATAAGCATCCTCACTAATTTAACTGCTACTAGTCTGGCCAAATTCTGACATTTCTCTCATACATGTAAAAATTAGCAATTTTTTTGCTTAAAATTAGGTAGAACCCCTAAACATTATAATTTTTTTAATGCAGAGGCCCTGGGGAACAAGATGGATGTTGTTGCAATTTTCTATGTTGCATGATATTTACGCATCAGTTTTCAGGCAAGAATACACTTAAAGGATAAGTTTGCCTTCTGGAGCATGTTACACCCAAAATTCGGGGGTGTACCGTGTAATAGGCTCCAAACCTGCCCCCCCGCCCACACCCCTGATTCCATTCTGATGAGCACTCGCTTAGTTTTATACACAACCCCTGCAGTTTGTAAACAGCCTGTATTGGAGGTACAGGCTGAAAGCTACAGAACTTGACCGCAGGACCATGATATTGTACCCCAATCTACTGATCATGGGTGCAATGATTTGCAGGTTCCTGAGGGAAAAAAATAATAAATGCACATTTTTTTTCCCTGCAAAAATGTGCATTTATTTTTTTTCTCCTAAAGGTGAATTAATTTTAGTGCACACAAACACAATTTAACCACTTTCCGTCCGGCCCATGTATATAAACAGCCGGATGGGAGCAGTGCAGGAGCCGGCTGCCGTTCATAAACGGTGCCTGCATTTTAAGCCTGTGCGCACTCCCTGGGAGTGCGCGGCACCGCTATCCGGTGCAGGACACAGCAGAACACCAATCGCTATACGAGACCTCTGTGTGAGGTCCCGATCATGTGATCACTGATTGGCCAATCAGTGATCACATGAATAGTAGTAAGCAAGATGTCACTTCTGACATCATTGTTTACTACTAGTGAAATCTGTGAATGATCCCAGAGATCGCATGGTACAAGCTGTGACCAATCAAAGCTCACACAGTATTTCTCAATGGCTGCAAAAATGCAGTCAGAAAGGAGAAATAATTGTTTTTACAGCCTTTATGGGTGTAAAAGCAATCAGTGTAAAAAAAAAAAAAAAAAAAATCTTCATCACCCCCCACAAGTAGTACAGTGTCACTATGGTAACACTGTACTGCTGGCGTGACAGTTAAAAAGAAAAAAAAAAAACAACAAATAATATAAAAAAAAAACATTTTGAAAATTATAATTTTTGGTTATAAAACTAATTTGGGTTATTTTTTTTACTAAAAAGATAGCTGAATACATTTTAGCCACGATTTATGAAGAAAGATTATTTATTTGCAAAATTGTATAAGAAAAACACTTTTTTTTTCAAAATTTGTGGACTTTCATTTATATAGCAAAAAAAAATAAAAATCCCAGTGGTGAATAAATACCATCAAAATTAAGTTTTATCTGTCTCAAAAAAATGCAAAAAAATTCATATGGGTACAGTGTTGCATGACCGCGCAATTGTCATTCAAGATGTGACAGCGCTGAAAGCTGAAAATTGGCCTGGACAGGAAGGGGGTAAAAGTGTCCGGACTTGATGTGGTTAGTACCCAATTTTTTGTTAAAACATAAAAGATAATGTTACACTGAATAAATAGATACATTATTATTATTATTATTATTATACAGTATTTATAAAGCGCCAATAGTTCACTCAGCGCTGTACATTACAAAGGGGGACAGAACATGTGACAGAACAATACCAATACAATGCAAAACATGAGGGATAATATTTCATGCTTTAAAATTGTGTACGCCCTTGGAACAGAGCCAAACTACGGTACCTTAACCGCTTCCATACAGGGCACCTTTACCCCCTTTCTGCCCAGGCCAATTTTCAGGTTTCAGTGCTCTCACACTTTGAATGACAATTGCGCAGTCATACAACATTGTACCCAATCTAAAATGTTATCATTTTCTTCACACAACTAGAGCTTTCTTTTAGTGGTATTTAATCACCACCGGGGTTTTTATTTTTTGCTAAATTTTAAATTTAATTTTTTTGCTAAAAAGCTTGCTCTGAAAGCTTGTTCTAAAAATGTCAGGACAGTACAACTGTATTGATGCTATATTGCATTAATATGCTAAAGTCACCTTACTGCAACATAAAATCTATATCCCTATTAACTACAGTTCACTTGGGGATTTTCTGTGAGGTTACGTTCCAATTGCAACCTTTTATTTTGTGATTCACTTGGTACAAGTCTGCTGTGATTGGCCCCTGTACCATGTGATCATGATCACTGTGACCATTTACAGAGATCACATGGCATCTTCTTGAAATAATCGTGATTCTGTCCAGTCATTTTTTTATTTTTATTTTTTTTGCAATAGGCCAGGAGGGAGGTGGTTAAGTTCCTCAACAGGTACAGTGCTCAGCATAAATGAGTATACTCCAACAGATTTGTCAGAAAACCTTTTCTTTCCTTTCAGAATCAACAATTTGTATGGAACACTATACTAGAAAATACTGATATTGTTATTTAACAATAAAAAAAAACACCTTCCCATTTCATGCTGTCAGCAATGGCTCCACATGGAAGAGAAATGCCACAAGATATTGATTAAAATCCTACTTTTCAAAAGGGACGTACTTATATATGCTGAGCACTGTACATAATTCTGTGAGACTATGCAGTGGTCTCCACTTCAGAAATGGGTCAAAAGAAATTCCCATAGACGGGGAAGTAATATTCAACTCTGGTTTAACATGGAACTGCTGGTACATGATAGCTGAGAAGTTTTCTGCCTGGTTTGCACAAACATGCAGTGACTTTGGTTGACCTTTTAAGAAGATGTGTCTTTTCTTCCGGGTATTTTCAGAAAATACCATATTATGTATGCATAAAATTTGTAGCCACCCATGCGTATATGAGAAGTGTGATATCAGTGATTTGCACAGTTCTGAGTAACAATACCCTAAAGTCAACTTGAATTCCTAATTTTCTCATCCTTTTTTTTTTTTTTTGTCCTTCGTGCAGCTGATCTCCTCTAGCCTCCTCCTTCAGCCACTTTTCTGTCTACATACATTCTCTCCGGTATCTGTTGCACATCATTATTTAAGGCTAGGTTCACATCTCCACGTTCCTGCAGGCCTCGTTTTGTGCGGGAACGAGAGCCCATTCATTTGAATGGACTCCCGTGCCCCGGAACACGCAGGGAAGAAGTCCCTGCGCGTCTTTGGAAAACGCAGCCCACACGGGAACCTCGGTTTCCAGTGCGGGCGGAGTGCCATTAGAATTAATGCACCCGCCCGCGGGTCTGCATTCCTCTGTGCGGGTGGTGCGGCTGCACAGATTTTTGTGCAGATCCGCAGAAGCACCATCTGCACAGATGTGAATTAGGAGATAGACTGGTTTTCAGATAGTGGTGATGATGATACAACGTGTCCGCACAAGGCGTTTCACTTGTGATCTCCATCAGGGGTGTGTGTGACAGGTTGACAACTCAGGAGCACTCTCGTAGCAGGAAGTACCTGATCAAAAGCCCTTATTGCAGGATCACCAAGTTATATTTTAATGGAAGCTGCATGTTTAAAAGTAATAAAACAACCTTTAGAATTACATTAACGTGCTAGTTTCAGATTTTACTGTTTGGGTTTAGATCTGCTTTAACACCCTGGTCACAACAAACCCAACTTTGAAATCGTGCGACTTACAGTGAAGTCATACAATGTCAAAGTCGGATGACATGCCGATTTCAGTTGCAATTTGCAAGACATCTGACGCAGATGTCTATGCAAATCGCACCAAAAGCAGTGCATGTACTACTTTAGAAATCGGTGCTGCCCTGACCAAGTTGGAACCACACTGATATGACTGTTGTAATTGCGGACAATAGGATGCGACTTGCATGCCAGTTTGTATCCAGTGTAACCAGGGACTTAAACACCATCATCAGGGAAAATGTGGATACTCAATTTGACACTTTTTGCTGGCAAATGACTGGACAGTCTGTTCGAAGCTCCTCAGATCTTTTCCCTACCAAACTATGGGGGTTATTTACTAAAACTGCATGGTGCAAAATCTGGTGCAGCTCTGCATTGAAGCCAATCAATTTCCAGTTTTTATTGTCAAAGCTTAACTGAACAAGTTGAAGTTAGAAGCTGATTGGCTACCATGCGCAGCTTTACCAGATTCTGAATGCACCCATTTTAGTAAATCTCCCCGATGTCTTTCTGAAAGCATTGATCAATTTGCTATTACACCTTAATTTCTTATAACTTCCTATCTACATACATTACCAGTAGCACTCTTATGGATATGTTTTTTCTTTTAGGCAAGGCATCCCAGATGAAGAAAGACTTGACAATATGTTGCAAAGAAATTACACAAATTGTCCGGACACAAATACTGAAAATGCATATTGGTATCAATCTGTTAAATGGAAGAGAAATCAAGAACACAGGACAGTGACTATTCATTTTGTAAAAAAACATGACATGCTACAAAATCCACAGGAATCCCTAATTATGGTAGAAGGTAAGATTGAGTTGCAGTTCATAATATGAACCACTGGGTGGCACCCTGACATCATTTATAAACTGTTGACTTCTATAATATAGTTCTGTTGATGCTTAGATACAGAAATTATAAATGTTCACCATTTCAGTACTAGGGACCCCCTGACTGCCCAGGCCAGTTTTCAGTACTGTTGCACTTTAAATGACAAGTGCGCGGTAATGCAACACTGTACCCAAACTCAATTTTTATAATTTTGTTCTCACAAATAGAGCTTTTTTTTGGTGGTATTTGATCACCACTGGGTTTTTTGTTTTTTTTTTTTTTGCTTAGTAAATGAAAAAAGACAAAAAAGTTTGAAAAGAAACGCATTTACCTTTGTTTCTGTTATAAAATTTTGCAAATAAATTTTTTTTCTTCATAAATTTAGGCCAAAATATATCCAGCTAAATTTCCTTGGTGAAAGTAACCCAAATCAGTATTCTTATTTAGTCTGTAGGAAAGTTAAGCCGGCCATACCTGGATCGAATTCCGAAATAATTCTAAGAATTTTCGTTCGAATTTTGCACCATTAGTGGGCCACAGAAACGGCCTATTTTCGTGCAACCATTGAATTTGAGTGATCGGGCATGTTGAAAATTTTTTGAAAAACTAAATAATTTCTAATCAATGATGGGAGAATTGTGCGAGAAATGTAATTAAAAAAAAAGAAGCATGAGCTGTGACCTGGAAAGAAAAGAAAATTCTTGGCCACGAAAATTCTTTTCTGTAGCAACGTGTGAAATTGAAGGCTTGATTGGTCGCATTTCAAAGTCAATGGTGACACCATCAGATTACAAAATGCATGAAATTTCCGATTTTCTAGAGACAATTTGTTCAGAATGTATGGCCTGCATTAGAGTCCACAAACTATCCTGCTGTACTGATGGCCTGTCTCATTTCTTGATGCCCAAAAATGTCAGGACAGTACAGATAACCCCAAATTACCCCTTTTTGGAAAGTAAACAGTCTGAGTTATTTAGTAAGAGGTATGGCCAGTTTTTAAAGTTGTAATTTTTTGTCATAATTTTGTGGAAAACTAAATTTAAACAAAAAAAAAATTTTTTTTTTACCACTCTCTGGAAGTGATCAGTTTTTTTTTACAAACATGGTGGGGGGGGGGGGGGGGGGGTACACATAATTGCCTATAGTAATGAGTTTCATTGCTATATGCAACCATTATACTTGATGACTTTTACTGTTTTTTTTTTTTGTTTTTTTTTTTTTTTTTCACTAGTGCAGTACAACGCCATAATATAACTAGTGTGGCAGTGATCAGAGACACTGACAGGTGACAGTATGGGAAAACAAATATATATATATATTTTTTTTTCTAACACAGTGTGACCAGAGCATAGTATAAAATAATAATATAATGTTACATTAGTAGTATTGTACTATTCTAGGGAAGGGATTAGTGATATATATATATATATATATATATATATATATATATAAAATTCATATTTTTTTTTACACATTCTGATTGCTTATATGAATCTCATTGCTATAAACAAGCATTTTACTGAATGAAATAGATTCATTCAGTTTGTTTTGTTGTAATTAGCTGTGATTGGCCACAGCTATTCACATCACACAGATGGACTGTGATTGGTCCAGTGTGTACCATGTGATGACTGTGACCAATCACAGCTAGGAACACAATTGTATACAATGAATGGCATGAAAGGAAGCCATCCAATGTTTACAATTGTCATGTGACGGCTGTGATTGGTCACAGCGGTCACATGGTATCGGCAAGGGGCCGGTACACAGATCAGTCATCGGCTGTGTCCGCTGGAGACAGTCAGTGACAGATTTCGCCACAGCATGGCCCCAATATGGGAGGATGTCACATGACGTCTACCCAAATCGATAAAGTGCTGCTCAGCCGTCATTCTACTATAGGTCAGGGTAGAAAGGGTTAATCCGCTTCTTATGCGGGGGTTAATAGAAGTGTATGAAGTGTATGAATAAACGTATTCTAGCAGGATTGGTATATCTCTGTTTTCACACTAGTGCATGTATGAAGTTCAACCACATTTACTTATACACTCACCAGCCTCTTTATTAGGTACACCTGTTCAATTGCTTGGTAACACAAATTGCTAATCAGCCAATCACATGGCAGCAGCTCAATGCATTTGGGCATCTAGACATGGTGAAGATGACTTGCTGAAGTTCAAACCGAGCATCAGAATGGGGAAGAAAGGGGATTTAAGTGACTTTGAACATGGCATGGTTATTGGTGCCAGATGGACTGGTCTCAGTATTTTTTTCAAAAACTGCTGATCTACTGGCATATTCACATACACCATTTCTAGGGTTTACAGAAAATGGCCCGAAAAACAGAAAATGGGCAGACTGGTTTGAGATGATAGAAATGCAACAGTAACACAAATAACCACTCGTTACAACCAAGGTATGTAGAATACTATCTCTGAACGCACAACACTTCAAACCTTGAAGCAAATGGCCTACAGCAGCAGAAGACCACACTGTGTGCCACTCCTGTCACTAAGAACAGGAAACGGAGGCTACAATTCGCATAGGCTCACCGAAATTAGACAATAGAAGATTGAAAAATGTTGCCTGATCCTGATGAGTCTCGATTTCAGCTGCGACATGCAGGTCGTAGGGTCAGGCTGGTGATGGTGCTGGTGTAATGATGTGGGGGATATTTTAGTACCAGGTGAGCATTGTTTAAACACCACGGCCTACCTGAGTATTGTTGCTGACAATGTCCATCCCTTTATGACTACACTGTACTCATCTTCTGATGGCTACTTCCAGCAGGATAATGCACCATGACACAAAGCTCAAATCATCTCAATCCGGTTTCTTAAACATGACAATGAGTTCACTGTACTCCAATGGCCTCCACAGTCACTAGATCTCAATCCAATAGAGCACTTTTGGGATGTGGTGGAACGGGAGATTTGCATCATGGTTGTGTAGCTGACAAATCTGCGGAAACTGCATGATGCTATCATGTCAATATAGATTAAAGAAAACCCCTTTCCCATTTCATGCTGTCGGCAATGGCACCACATAGAAGAGAAATGTCACACAGCCTGAAAAAGAAAAGAAGATCAGCAAAGCCTTACTTATCAGTCAGAATACTATAGCAAAAATGATACAGAAATTTAGCACAGATGGAACTACAACCATCTCATAGATGTCCAGGGCATTTACGGAGGTTAAAGCCTCGACAGGAGCATTTTAATGGGAAGGGTTGAAGAAAATTGCCATGCAAGTTCACTGCAGTTGGCTAAAGAAGTAGAAAGCCCAAACTGGGGTGATTGTTTCCTGTGACACAATACAGCGTACACTGCAGAGGAATGACATGCATGGGTGTTGTCCATGAAGGAAGCCTCTCCTAAAGCCCATGCACAAAAAAGCCTGCCTAGAATTTGCCAGGGCCTATCCTGAAAAAGAAGAAGACTACTGGGACTCTACTCTGGAGTGATAAGACCAAGATAAATGTTTTTGGAACTGATGGCTTCAAAACTGTATGGTGTCACAAAGGTGAGGAGTACAAAGGAAAATGCATGGTGCCTACAGGGAAACATGGTGGTGGCAGTGTCCTTCTGTGGGTCTGCATGAGTGCGGCTGGTGTCTGGGAGCTGCATTTCATTTCTGGTATCATGAATTTGCAAATGTACTGCTCTATACTGAAAGAGAAGATGTTAGCATCACTCCATGTCCTTGGTCATCGAGCACTTTTCCAACATGACAATGATCCAAAACACACATCTAAGGCCACTGTTGCATTTCTGAAGAAGAACAGGGTGAAAGTGATTCAGTGGCCAAGTAGTTCTTCTGATCTGTACACCTATGTGATATTCTGAAGAGACAAGTTGATCATTACTCTCCAACCAGTATCCAGGCACTAAAAGAGGTCATTCTTGAAGAATGAAAAAAGATTAATTGTTGATATATGTCACCAACTTGTTCATTCCATGCCTAGAAGACTTGGTGCTGTCCTTACAAATAAGAGAAAAAAGCCTTCAAAGTGCAGTAGTAATGAACATTTATTAGCATATGGACAAAGAGCCACTCACATAGTATGGTAAAAAAGGCTCCTCTGGTGAACAAGGTTTCAGGAGCAATGTCTGTGTCCCCGCTGGGAAGGCTGTGGGACAAGTATGCAGTACGACGTGTTTTGGAGTGTGCGTGAAGCCACTAGAGGGTGAGCGCGCTCCTTTATCAAGCACAATACAATACAATGATTGGGACATATAGGACTAACAAACAATGGCAAAAGAGGAAATTAAGGTTCAAAAGGGCTACCAAAATACTACAATTAGTCACTGATAAATATGTTAATACACATTTATACATGATTAAAACAAAAATGAATAAAAATAGTAAAAATAATAAATATGTATGTCTGTCCACACGTACCCACATGTACATGTAGGGACAGGGAACTAAAAAGATGTAGAACAGACTAAAATATTTAAAGAGGTAGAACAGACTACATATGATAAATCATAGAAAATATAATAAAGAAAATATATAATTTTTTTTTTTTTAAATTCTAACCTAAAGATTGTAGACCTAGAGGATACACAAACTTATTGCTAGATATGTTCTATTAGTACTAACCTTGTTATATATTAGTGCTAACATCTAGTTCCTCATTTAGTCCACTAGGGGACTGTGTGTCCAGAATAGAAATCCAATATGTTTCTTGGGCACATAATTTGTGAAAACGCTCTGATTCTGAAAGATGTTTAGATATGGCTTCCACAATCCAAACTTTCAAACCTTTCGTGGATTTATGGTAAAATTCTGAAAAATTATGGGGGATACTATGTTTGGCTTTTCCTTCTTCAATTAACTGGCGATGCTCTCCAAATCTGGCACTCAGTGGTCTAATGGTGCTGCCTATATACAATAGGCCACAAGGGCGAGTCAAACAATAGACTACATGATCTGTTGAACTGTTATAAAAATCATTTAAAAAATAGGTTTTT